AATAATTCGTCTAAAAACTTAGTTTTTAAATTATATTTTTTTATTAATGTCGTCGATTATATTTTGACTGTAATCTACAATCAAGTGTATTTTTTTAGAACGCTTTGAAGATCAAGCGGAGAAACATCGACCCAATTCGAGCGAGATAATCCGACGAGGAGGCAAAACGATGAAAATCGCAGCGATACGTTACACTTACGATGGAGCGTGAGTTATTCGTCGCGCAGGATTATCGCGACGAGAAATTCCAGAGCGGCACGATTGAACGGCGCGTTATTGCGACATATGGCTGGGGATATCTATCGTTTATCATGAGCTGCACGCCTACCGATGCGGTGTGGTAAAGCGGTGCGTTAATTAGAAATATTCGTATACCTCTCGCGTTTCCGCCCGTTGATTTAGCGCAATGTTTATCTCTCGCGCCGCCGCCACCGCCGTTTTATTAACGCTCGCTGCTCGCTCGCGCTGTGCGTTTATCTCGGATTTCTCGGACGTTTTGCGAGTCGCGATTTGTCCCCCTTCTCCTGTCTCGCGCCCGGCGAAATGATACTTGCCGAGGAATATCTATTTATATTATGCAGCGGAGATGCTATTTATGCTATATACCAAGGGGATTATGCCCGATCATCTTCCAGTGGCGAATTAGCCTTAGTAGCCTACAATGTTGCGAGGCAGAGACAGCGAATATAACAAAGTACTGAATATAGAGATATAAATAGAACAATAAAATAACAGCGTAGGGTATTTCAGGAAAAATCTAAAAGACTTGAAAAATTGATGATTTCTACCGCACAAGTAGATTTTAACGCTTGCAAAGATAGAAGGAAGATAAATTTTAAAAATAAGAAAAGTTTCTGGCGTTTAACTGATCAATTAAATTTCAAATGTTAACATAGTGATAAATTATTGACAAAAAATATTAAAGAAAAATTTAAAACACTAACTTTTGAAATAGAGAGATGACTATTTAACACGTTAAACTACAATTTCACAATTAGCCTTTAAATGTGGTACTGATGGCGTATCAAACACTTGATTGAACATCACACTTGGTGCTTTTTATGCAAAACATCGCGTCAGTTAAAACAAGTAATCAGCGTGTCTGCGTCAGTTGAAAGGTAAATATTTACTATTCTTTAATATATCACTGTTACATACGGTAAAATTATGCGCTAAAGAAATTCTATGACACACGCTATATCCCGAGGTATGCAACGAGCGTACCTCGGCGCGAAGGTTAACCCTTTAAGTGAAGCGGATCGTCGAACCCCGAGCGTGACTCCTATACAGTTGGCCTTCTCGGTGATCTCTCGGTTTCCTTTTGAGCGATAATCTACGAAGGGCTAGCCCAGGCAGAGGCAAGGCCCCGATATCGAGTGCCCGTAGGGAAAACGGTGAGCTATGCGCGCGTGTATTAAATTTCAAACTCTCGCCCGAGGCCAGACACGCCGCGCCGCCGCCGCGGCAGGCTGGTTCCTTGCCTTCGTTCGAAGGCGGAGGTGCAAGGTGCACGGCGCGGATCCGACCTACGACCTTGGCAGTCACGACGAGCGAGCGAACATCGTCGACGCGTAGCGTACGTATACATGCAACACGCCGGCCACACGGAATACCGTTTCCCACATCTCGCGCCACGCAGCATCGCCAATACGAGGTATCTAATAATCGAGTCCTTATCGCGGAATAGGATCTCCTGTATTTGACATCCTTGACGTGCTTCCAATGGGCCTCCGAAAAGTCGTCATACGGGACTTTCAAACGCGTTTCTTTTCCCACTCGAATAAACGGCGCGCGCTGCTATGTCTATATAGTAATAATAAAATATTGTGCAGAAAAATGTTTGTGAGATAAAAAAAAAATACAATGTTACCATTGAAAAAAATTGTTTACGAAAAGAAGTTTATGAAATTTGTCTGCGAGCAACACGTTATATCACCGGCTTCGTTTCTTTTTCTCAGTGAGCTAAAAATAATGCTACTTTCAACAGAAAATTCTTACCAAGACAAAATAAATCGTAAATTTGCCGAAGAGTTTGTCTCTAAAATACATATCTCGCGATAGATCTGGAAGGTAGCTTTTATAGAGTAAGGACTTACGTAAAGGATTGCGGTGCTGACAACTTACGTAAGGAGGACATTTACCGCTAAATGTGGTCATCTAATTCTCGCGTTACGTATGTTTGCGCAATTACTCAAGATAAGTAGACAGATATAATTCAAATATAATCTGAGTGTCCAATTCCGTATTAATTTTACAGCAAACAGAAACGTATTTATGAAACGCGCTTTTTCATAAAACAGAATTGCACATAATTTTTAACGATTAAGAACTTCAAATGTATTGCTATAAATTTACTGAATCTTTCGTGCAGATAAAACTCGTTTGTCACTCCAGTTATATATACCTAACACTATTTTTTTTCTGCATCCCTTGTTACTTAAGACATTCAACCAACACTTTAACCTCGATATCTTTCGGCGAAAGCAACTTTATCTCCCGGTATCGCCGGCCCCCAGCGAAACAAGAGCCGGACGCGGCGCGCCCGCGCAGCATCCACAAAACGGATTTATTCCCGACGACACGACGCGACACGACGGGGGCCCAGGAGCGCGAAAGAGGGGACGCCGTGCAACGTCTAAGCATCGTTTTCACCGTCGCGAGTCGGATAGCAGCGGTGGAAACCGTCGCTTTCGCCGTTTGCCGATAGCGAGTCCGCGATTCTCTCTCCTGTTTCTCTTTTCCGTCGTCCGTCCTCCTCTCCCTCGTATCAGCCAGAATCCGCTCCCTGTTATCGTGAGCCCTGTCGAAAGTCGGCCTCTGGGATCGCGATCAGCAGGTGGCCATTGTCGGCTCCTGGGAGCCGTGCATGCACGGATGAATCTGAATTTCTAATTGTCGCCAATGGCGCCATTAATTAAGTGGGAACCAAATGAACCGGGACGAAAGCGAGCGAAACGGACTGATTAAGGAGATGAAAAGTCGCGCTCGCGCACGACCCGCCGATTTTTCGCGCGTGAGCTGCTGCCGTGCTGCGAATTGCGCTACCGGCAGTTCTCGCGACGCAAGATAAGCCCGGGATATCGTTATCGGCGATATCGCGCGCCGCACTGGATTAAATTGCGCTCGTTAACGACTAACGCCGCCCGTGCGCGCGCGGACTCGAGTCTCGGCTGCTGCACGGCGCGACATTTTAATCGGAATTTAATTTGGTATTTCTCTAATGCGCTTTTATGTCTTATCAATTAATATTAATATTCTAACGTTGCAGGAATTACTCAGGAATTGATTAAAACGTGTGAAGTTTCGATATTTTACTATGTAAATAAAAACCCCGGGACTAAATCGCGAGATTAACGTACGATTACAGTTGGCGAAAGTTCTGATTAAAATATGTCGTAACAGTTGCTTGGAAAGCGACATTTAAAATATATAAAATTTTAATAAGCATCCACTTTGTAAATGTAAATTGGTGGAATAAGTTAATTAATGCAAATAAATATTCTAAAGAATTATCAGAATTATTTACATTTAAAGAGACTTTCCTTTTTTCTTCTCTAATTTCTAAAAATGTATTTTACATGTCTAGAAATTTTTACAATGTCTAGAAATGAGAGTTTAATAAAAAATCCTAGCAGAAACTTCTAGTACGTGTAACAGGATCGGTCTCATCCCGGCTGCGCGGAGAGAACTTCGAGCTTCGGCCGGAGGTTTCGATTTCCCGGATAAAATACGCAAATTGGAATTATCCGGGCTCGGGGCGAACCAATATAATCCTCGAGCGACATAGTCCCCACGCGTCGCGACTTCGTCGTAGCGATAAATCGACGACATCGGGGCATCGTATTTACCTGTACAACCGGATCGTTTGTCTTCGGAGAAGACGGCGAGAGAGACGTGAACGAGGGGATCGACGGCGGCATCCGGGGGATCGGATGTAAAGGACGCATGGTAATATGAGAGGCGCGCAGCTTACAAGGAATTCTCTAGCGCTTAGACGACTTAGGCAACGAACACCACTGAGGTCGGAAATCTTAAACCGACCAGATTTTCAACTCTTGTACTTTGTCACCTCATAATATTGCTCTATGCCGCAAAAGTCTTTGATCCTCTCGTATATACATAATATACGAATAATTGAAAGGTCGACGCAGATTCCTAATTCGAATACCAAAATAGTAAAAAATTCACGAATATTTGGAAAATTTCAAATAAATTATTTAGAAACATACTTTCGATTAATATGCAAACTATAAAAATTTGCTTCTGTATGTGTGTGCTTCCTTCTCTTCCTTCTAATTATATTAAATATTTCTGTAGAATTTTTAAAACATTTATAAAGAGTTAAATTGTCAAATGATTAGTATTTTAAATTTTATTAGTATGATTACACGTCATAATTGCTCTATTGTGGTTTAGATTTTGCGATCATTAGAATCCCAATAAGACTTTTATCATCGGAAATTTGAGACTCTCATATTTCGTGAGTTATTCGACTCCTAATTTCCGTTGGTGTGCCGCTCCTGCACCCTTTCTTTTTGCATTTTTCTGTGTAGGCGCGGGCGAACATGCCGTCATCGCGAGGGAATGCAAACATTGAGAGCCCTCCGAAAGAGCCGTATTTTATTTCTGTATCGCAGCCCAAGAGAGACGGCCGAACATGTGTTGCACCCAAAACCTTGGCCCGAATCACTAGTTATTCGGCCAGCAGTGATTTCGCTTAACGAAGCTCGCTAAATTCGCTCGCGATTCGCGAGAGAGACCATCCGGCCGATTCTTCGCGAAATCAACGACCGTGACGTCTTCCGAGGCCTCGTGGTTCGCGCCCAGAAAACAATATACAGTAAATGAGCTAATTTCGAGCTTAGCCAACGTTCAAAGTCTCAAATATATGAAAATATAGAAAAATTTTAAGAATTGGAACTATTTCGACATACAATTCGATATACAATAAGCATATAACTATTTATCAAAATAGTCTTTAAATAATTGATGTGACTTACCTTCGATGACTATCAACGACTCGTGGGATACAGAATACTGGCGACTATGAGGATACAGGAAACGATGGATTGCGGACGATGGGGGATTCGACTTGACGAGGTTTAACAAAAGATGCTCCTTTATTATTATCTTCTCTCGATAACAAGTGACTAGCACTTCGAATACAGCGATCGACATCTGCCTGAAATCGAATTACGCACTCACACACATTAGACGCTAATTTTAAGTGGAATGTATCGTGAAAAAAAGAGAGATACGCGCTCCGCTAAACTTTCCCTCGTTCGAGGAAGCCAACTTTAAGAGTCCGTTTTACGATCTTTTTCTACCCACTAAAAACTGCTGACGCTTGAAAAGATCACACAGTTTACTGCTCGTTAACCATCTATTTTCTCAAACGTAATGTAAATAAAGTTATTTTTTTTTTTGTTAAACACTTGCATCAAAAAGCACGTTAGCCGAAGAAAAAGACATCGCACAACGGACTTTATGTCGTCCGGAAGGCACTGAAAATATTTACGAACTACGCGAACCTTAAAAGTCGATCGTAGTCTCTATGCTTGTCGTAGAAAAAAAGAAGTCGATTTGCGAAACATCGCGCGCAATTGCAGAGCGTAGCAAGAAAGCAAATACTTTCTATGATAAAGTAGACGAGATTCACGATGATCATCTTCATTAATAAATTTAACATGGCAGCCATTCAAGCAATCGTTGATATTTTTTAACCCATTAAAACCGTCTTATGGTTTCACTTTTTCTTTTCCGAAAAGAATGGAAATTGCGGTAAAATAAAAAATAAAAAATTCATCTATACTTTAATTCTTTTGTTGCTGTAGTCTTCATTGTAAAAAAATCAGTAAGAATGGTATTTAATGGGTTCAGTATTCTAACATCCGCGCTCTATTTATCGTCTCTCGTATGCAAATCTTAATGATTACTCAAGTCTCCGAGACTCTCCGCAGAGTATGATAAGCGAACATGTGCGCTATATTTACACTTAGGCTACTTTCTTTAGGAACATTAAAGTCATCGAATCAATCACGCCTGGCGGTGAAGGTGTTACGGTTCGCTCTCGACAAGCCGCTTGCGAACACCTTCGAGAAACAACTAAGGCGATAGGCAGGAAATCGAATCGAATCTCTTCCACTCGGTGGAAATATCAAAAATTTGAAAGACTCACGGGTTTCGTTCGGGAGCATCGAAAAAAATATATAAACCCTAAACAGTATAAAATATCTTACAAAACTAAAATCTCATCAACGTCACATATTCGATTTTAAAAATATAATTTATAAAAAAAGACAACTATGATTGAAGAGATTCGGAAATGTGAAAACTGTGAATTTTTTAAATTACGCACAAATATTTTTCAAAGTGTTCGAGAGATTAATAAATATAATAAGAATAATACGGAAAAGATTATACTGTTTAGGGTCAGTAACGTCATAATAACTTAAACACCGAGTGATGTGCAAGTGTTGTGTGTATCCCAAATTATAAAATTTACACTCGCGGAACCGGTTGGTGCGAGGCACTTCGCAACCGGAAGATCATTCCTGATAAATCGTCTTAAGGACTATGCCGTTCAGGAACAACTTGCCCGTCACTTGTAATCACTGTGAAATGTCATCGTAATATTTAAAAAAAAATAAGTACCTTTATACACACCACGAACTATCTCTGAGTTCCGCGTTGATTCGCTTCTTTGAGAATTCGTCAACGTCACTGAAAGCGGGATCATACGCGAACATCACGTCTTTCTTCGGCACTCGAAACAGTTTTCTTCAAAGATGATGTCGCCCTCCAGGTGAATCTTCTCGAAGTCTTTAGTCCAAGATCTTTCAGCTGCCAGATTATGAAGAGCTTTAAGATACTTCAACAATTCGTAATGTCGAACTGCCGGGGCCTCGTATCTTAAATCTTGCGTGTTATTAACGCCAGAAAATCAGTCTTACATTCTCGGAGCTGCAGACCCCGAATGCTTCAGAACCTCGAGAGCTTGATCGCCACTAACGAATGCATTTTTCGTCAAAATGCTTCGTAAAGGATCTCTCTTGTCAAAGGACACTTCCAATCGAAAATCAAAAATGATTTTCCGATCCTGATAATGTGTGGCGGCCTCTCTTTAGAATTTAGAAAGGCACAAGATCGATGAGAGATTCGTTGTCCTTGCCGAGGAGGACCTCGTCAGCGATTGGAGTAGACGTTGCTGCTGAGGACAACGATGTCGGTCCTCTTGCACGGCTCGTCTCGTCCACCGAGAAGGAGGGCGCATAGAAGGCGTCATATGCTCAACGACGGCCTTTTCTTACGATCTTTAGTGGTATTCTTGCCGAAGATCGTGCCAAGGACCCTCGAGACCGAATGCACGCCCAATTTCCTGCGGATCGGCAACGCCCGCAATAGCTGAACCGATCGCGCCTCCCGCAGCAGCGCTTGAAAGGCCAACGCTGCTCCCGCAGGACTCTCCGCGGCGCTCACTTCGTAGAACTGACATCCGTGCGCCAAGGATAACTGTTGACCTTCGTCCACGCACACCTCTCTGCAACAAAAACATCCACCAAACTCTCCTTAATGCACTCTTTGACGAACATGTCATTTTTGAAATGTCTAGGATTCAAGTTTAGACGTCAAAATATCAAAGTAAATTGAAATGTGAATATTGGAAAACTTTACGACATTCGTGCTTTGAAATGAACAGTGTAGTTCGATGATGAAATGTCTGCGTTGCGTACTAAAAATCCGTAATTAGATCTTTCAAATTTTTTCTCTTTCTGTAACACAATGATTTTTTTCGATTTTATCAATTATTTTTAAAACTTTTAATTCTTGCCAGTTTAAATCTATGTAAATTAAAAATTTCAAAATTTTAATTTTATGATAATCTACAATCTGCAAATTTAAAAAGTTTGAATCTTCAAAATTATGAAAGTTTAAAATCTTTTTAGAGCTTTATGAATTAGTAATTGTGAAGCTTGAAATTTATAACTTTTCTGCTTTATAACACTGGAAATTGGAAACACGCTCTCGTTGAAGATCGTCATTTCGTGGTGATTCATAGGAGTTTACGTCGCGGAACACTCGAATCACGTGTTGAAACATCGATCGGAAACAGCGGAAACGCGGACCGGATGCTGCGGGCGTTTGCAGATTTTCTCGCCTCGGACATTGCGCTTTGTAAGTCAATGGAATCGTCCAAGGCTCAAATTAAATCCTCGCGGAGCGACGGAACGTACTGGACCGACGATGGATGTTACGAGTTTGGCAAACACCAGACGCTGGTCGGAAAGAGGTGATTGAACGGCGAGATAAAGACCGGACGTTTACGAGAGGAAGCAGAATCACTGAAATATCACCGGGCGCGGAATATTTGTGATAGGGCTAATAAGAGCTTTGTTAGCACTTGTATATTTCCATATATTTATAAACACTACACTCATAAATATATTATTCTAATATCTGTAATAACTAGAATATCTCTCAGACAAAAGATTCCAACACTTTAGTCCTAAATAATATTCTAATATTTTTATCGCGAAAAATAGGATTTACGAGTTTTGTTAATCTTTAGATTTTTTTGAAATATTAAATTATTTACGTTGCACATTTTTGCGCCATTGACTTTTTGAATCGATTTTTGTGCACGCAATAATTAATACGCCGCAGCACGCATTATGCATTTTAATTGGCATAAAGCGTGCGGACAAAGAATTCGGAGTTTCTTAATGTGAAGAGCAAAGGCGGGAAAGAGAGGGCAGGATTCCTGTATTTCCAGCATGGAGAACGCGACTCTGCGTGGGGCAGAGGGACTCCAATATTTATGGAGACAATTAAATTCGCAGGAACACATGATCCTCACGAGGAGGCACGAAGGGCACGTGGGAGGGCGCGCGATTAGACGCAATCGTGCACGCTCGCGGTCGTTAATCTGTTCCCTTTTATTTTATATGAGAGGCGATCCGTTGTTTTACGAGCGGCGGGCGTTAGTTTCTGTCGTACCCGCGCTCTTTCTTAATTTAACGAAGACAGACGAAATATTTATAACGTGTTCCGAAACAATCTACGTCAATGCGGAACTGGATAACAAATCGTAAAAATAATGCAGATAAATGATGCTGAAGAATGATAAAACATTGTAGAACCAGAGAAAGAATAATCAAATTTTAAATATAGTTGTAAATCAATCTCACGAGATTTAAGAGATCGTCTAAGATTTTCAAAGCTTCTAAAGAAAAGTGGCTAAAATTTTAATGCTAAAAGTGTAAAAATGTGTGTCAGAAAGATTTAGAATTATAAAAATAAAAAAAAATTCCAGAAGCCATTCGCGCTTTGATCAAAACGGAAAATGGAATTCTTTTCGAACTAATTCATCAGCCGCGTGAACACTTTGCTTCGAGGGATTGTCGACTACGATACTGCCATGATAAGCGTTATCGATACGCAATATTTGAACGACGACTCTGTGGACGTATCTAAAGCGGCGAAAACTCGTTCTCGAGAGAGTGGTTTCAGCCCTGCAGCGGACTTCGCTCTAATCTTTATGAACTCCATTAAGACGACGAGCGCGGCTACCGGGTAGAAGAGACACGATGTACTTTCGTCGCGCGAATCGATCTTCTCGACTGACTTATGCGCGTCGTTATCTTTCAAGAACTTGAATCACCTCAAATTTATTTTTTTTTATATTTTATTTTTTACAAAGTTAAACCATTAACGTCTCAAAATGTTATAAATTCGGCATTTTGCTTTCTTTTTTATTTTGTAACTATGAAACTTTTCGATTTATTTCGCTGAAGCTTTTGTGTCTGCCAAATTTCGCAATCTCGTATGCGAAAATAGAGTGTCACACCCGGCACGAATAATTTAAAAGCTGTATAATTTTTCCCGCATGCGACATGTAAGGAAAGGCGCACTGTAATTTATGACTCGGTCCGCGGATCGATGGATCTCTCAAATAATTCCGGTTTAATTAAATTTCTCAACGATAATCGTGACAGTTACAAAGACCGTGTATCTCTTACATGCCATCAAAATGCCAGTTACGTAAATCGAATCGCTCTTTTCCCGCCAGCATTGCCGCCGCCGCCGCCGCCGCCGCCGATCGACGACCAATCGCTCGCTTGCAACAACGGCAAGTCTGTGACATTTTATTTCTGTGACATTTTTGACATTCGCCCGTAGCTATCAGGACGCCCCGTTGTCTTTTTCCTTTGTTAGTTCCTCACGAAATTCCCAGCGATTCTACGATGTTTTCTTTACATCGATCGCGCTCATGCTTGCCCTGTAAAACTCGCTCGACCCCCAGCCTCGTCATCCTCGTTATCTAAAGGTTGACTCGAGGTTGAAAGGCTGAAATGCCGAGACTACATCTCTCAAGTCAAATTCTATTGTATCTGCCTCCGCCTTTTTTGCCTACATTTGACATTCAGCATATTGGAACAGATTAGATAGAGAGATGTATAGTTTTTAAAACTGCCGAAACGTTCCATTTTTTAAAATTCGAGTCACTAACTTGAATCACTTCGATCTTCGGATATTTGGACTTTCAAATCGGTAGGATTGTAGAAGCCATGGCATAAGGTTCGAGCCAAGCCTCTTAATTGCTGCATTTAATACCGATAATTATACATTCACCTTGAAAGAATTTTTAACTTAAAAAAGATAAGGCACGAGAAACTTGGAATTCCTTCACGAACAGCATCCTGACGAATGGTGCGCACCTTTTCGAGACATCCTGCATAGTAGCATCGTGTAATTGCAGCGTTGCCGTCGTTACTAGATCATCGGTGAGATTTCCCCCGGTATGCAAAGCCCATAAAGGAGACGTAAGGGCGAGAAGGTGGCTCGTAAGGCGAGAAAAGGAGCGTGTTTTCGTTAACGACGGTCCGCATTCCTGCGGGATTTGCACGGGAAATTCCTCTCCGTCCGATGAAGAGAATACCGACTGAAATCTTGTTCATCTACGTGTTTTTTCCGCAATTAAACGTACGAGAGATGCCGAAAAAAGTTTCGCGTTGCAAGCGTAATATGTGATGAAAAAGACGGTTTATTAACGGAAAGAGCTAAGATTACTTCCGGTTATCAATCATATATTTTTAAAAATTTAGATTAAGGAATTCTCAAACCTAAATAATTGAATATTATAACAATTAATTAATGTTTTAATGACTCTATAAAACTTTATATATCATAAATATATTTTATTTATTTTTTAGTTATTTTTTGTCAGACTAAAGATATTTCACTGTTAAAAAAAATTTTTTTTCTAAATAAAGTAAGATCACAATGTCATTTAAAATTAATTAAATATAAGAATTGAAAAAATCGAAGCACAACAGACTTCGCATTCTGTACGCGTTTAAAAATCCATCGACTCTCAATTATCCAAATAAATTTGTGAGATGCATCCCGAAGAAATCGAATATTTATTCTCGCGTTCGCACACACGTCACCGTTCTATTAACGCGCATTTATCCTCAACGGATACACGAGAAGCCGCACCGATCCGACAAGGTTAATGAGCCGCCGCCGACACTCTTTATTCAAGTTACAGATAAAAACGGCGAACGCGTACTAGTATTTCCTAGCTTTCTCTCGCCCGAATCACGCAACGCAATGATGCACTTTGAGCAACTGGTTGCATAAAATGCAACAAGATGTATTGACGCCTGAGAAACTGCACGCAAGCCACACCTATTTGTATCGCGCGTCTTTAACGAGCTACATTTTTCCCACAACGCCTGATTTTCACATCGCGGCGAAAAAATACATTCTATGTCAAACGCGCAAGAAATTATCTCGCTTTATAAAGACTGACCGCGTCGCTAATTACCGCCAACATCGTATTACTGAATTATTTCCGTCGTGAAGAGATCGATATCTTCTTTATGAGTTCCTTTAATATTTAAAATACATGTTTCTCTCTTTTAAATTCTAGAATAGAAAGTTCTAAACTCCTGAATTCTGAAATTTTTGAATATTTATATGTGTAAATTTGATCAACTCAATCCTGAAAGACTTAATTCGGAAAGCATGATATAAAATCGAAAAATTAACAGCTTAATAAACGTTTTTGCATTTTAATTCCCTTTAATCTGCGATGACACGCATTTATTTATCCGCGTATTTATGTGTCGCACCGCCGGATCCCGACGCCGATGCGTGAAACACGACACGTGGCGCAACAGTGCAGACCACAGTGTCGGCATCGGATGCCGCCGATTCGAAAAACCCGGTAGTGGTCGAGTCTAGAAATCGTTCACGTGATCCTTCGCCTCGCCCGATCTGTTTACCTGTTCAAGTCGCCTGACCGACTTGGATGAGTCGTTCACCGGAGTTGACGTACCAGTCGACCGATTAACTCACTCTGTCATCGTGTAGCCGATCGAACGTTCGGTTCATTGAACTGGTTTTTGCGAAAACGTGCCGGCAAAAAACTTACTCGCGTCGCAAAAAGCCCCTCCCCGGATAAGAATGTTACATAAAAAGTTTCAAAATTCACAGCTTTGGCGGTTCCAAGTCGCAAAAATATAAAGTGCGAAATGTAATAAAAATCAATAATATAAAATGATAATAAAATGTATTAAATATTTAAATTATTTTTAGGTGCGTTCAAAAATGCAAAGATTTTGTATAAGTCTATGCGCATATTTAAAGACTGTAACTTGTAAAAAACCCTCGTCTTCTCTTAAGCGAATAAACAGCCGATCTAAACGATAGTGAGTGCAAGAGGGACAATAAAAACGCCGGAGAACAGTCTAATAAAACGTCGGACATCGCGAGGTGCCGTCTGGAAAAAACGCGAATCGCGTGGCGCACGCGAAATCTCATCTCGTCTAGGAAACGCCGGTGAGGATCCTGTTACTCGCAGGTGGAAAGTGAACTGCAGAATTAATAGGCCAGTCACACGTACACGCGTGCGCGGCAAATCGCGCGTGTGCGATCGGCGGGATAAACACGACTACGATTGGGAAAAAAAAGGAGATCGATCGAATAATCGACGATTCGCCGAAGGCGATACACGAAGTCGGCGATCGACGATCGCGCGATGCGAAATGATATTGTAATTCTTGCGCCGAGCCACTTAAGCGGCCCTCATACGATCCGTATCGCGCCGTCGAATGAGCTCCGCTACCCGATAAATCTTAATTCGGAGAACGAGATTCGGCATCGCGCGTTATGACGCACGTTTAGCGCTAAATAAAGCCTAAAGATCAGTGAACTTGATTCTCATGACAGATTCTATATCGAATTGAAGGTTAATTGTTCTTTAAGGAACATTTTTTTTCGAGCGAGAGAGCACATCGTTTCTTACAAGTTTACAACATTTAGTGTTAAATATTCTTCTCTTTAAATCTGATATTGAAATAAAAAATTGTATATAGCTCTCCCAATTTAATGAAATTCGACGAAAGAGATCGAAATTAATTAACGAGATCTTTGGGATGGTAACAGTAATATCGACCGTGTGAGGACCCCTTAAGACGCCAATCGTGACGAAGTGTGCCAGGCTTGCGAGGCCGCGGGTAAAAATGGGTCATGTTTAAGCACGACATTACTTACGAATAAGCAACATCCTTCTTTCTTTTAATTTTATTGTCACGGGAAATTTATTCAACACAACATTCGTCGTGTTACACAGTCGTGTAATCTATTAACAACGATTATTCAACACAGACTGCAATGGTAATTGTAGCAATACAATCGATCGGCGATACCGAGGGATACGTCGGATCCTTTAAAAGTTCCATTTAGTTCTATTTATTTCTATCAGCGAGTTATAACTCAGACAAAATTATGATTGATTGCGATCAATTGTGAAAACCATTTGAACAATCTATCATTCGCGACAGAATTCGGGATGGAATTAGAATTTTATATGCAAATTTTATATCTGTGTGATATGAGAAACGTTTGAAAAATCAGAATACATAGTGAAGAATACAAAATAGATACAGAATACAGAATACAAAATATAATAGTGATATATGTGTGCTCTGATTCTCCCAATGTTTTCTATTACATAAAATTAGAAATAGATTTCCATCTCGAATTCTGTCGCGAATCATAAATTATCTAACGAAACACAAACAAAATTCAAGATACAAAACTGAAAAGATTGTTTCTTTCGCGACGATAAAGTAACATAAAATTACGCCACATTGATTTATTAATAATTACGGTTTTTATGATGTCCCAAAAAAGCGTATGCTGGTTTATATTTAGCCGTATATCAGCTGAGGATAATCAAACGTTACCGTGGTACACGCCCGCTTCTTACGAGACCGTTAATCATATTTGTAACAATGTGATTTACGCTTACCGTGCATGATCCAGATCTCGCTTGTTGCCGAGTAGGAGGGCGGTGAAGTAGGATGGCAGGCGTAGATCCGCGAGTTGCTTGAGAAGTCCGCGAGCTTCCTGAAAGCTCCGCTTACACGTCACGCTGTAGACCACGACGAAGGCCTCGCCCCATCGTATGTGCGAGTACAGGCAGCCGTTCTCCTGAAACAATCGATGGAACACGACCGATCACTATGACAGTCAAAAATCGAGAATCGGATTAAAAGTGACACATCCCCGTTCTTCAACATCTTAGCATATTGAAAGGTAAAATAATATTCCAGCGTTCTAGACAGCATCGGTGAACAGAAGTCGACCGCAGACCGTTAGAAGAAAATACAATATATACGTTTAGTAGACTCTTGGAGAAATTTAGATACACATCAAACTTCCTGCTTAAAACTTTTTTTAGAATTTCGTATTTTTAACTTGCGGAATGTCTTCAGGGTGCATCTATCTACGCACGCGACTAAAACTGTTTTTGATGACTACGAAAAAAGAGTGTCGAAGGCGCCGAGAATTCGCCACACGTTGATTCCGCAAGTCGCGTCCGTAAATTTCAACCATTACCTAAACTGCCGCGCATCCGGCGAGAGACTGAATTTTATAGACCGAGATAAATATATACTTGGTACGCGCGCGCGTATTTACGAGCGTTATTTACGGTCAAATCTGTCGAATTAACATTGCGTGTAACGTGCTCGTAAATAAACGCCGCGGGAACTCCGACAACAGCGAGTGCGCTCCTTTCACGCTGCCACAACGCAATGTGGTAACTTCGTAAAAATTACTGATAACCCGCGCCGTAAGAAAGGGCATTAAACTTGTATCGTATCAAAAACTACGCGGTTACCCGAATAAAAATTCGACTCGAATTTACCGAGCGTGAATCATGATTTATGAGATTACATTATTTATGGATCTTAAATTTATGGATCCTTGAACGCATTCCAAATTATGCAAGTTTGAAACTTTTAAGTAACAAAATCTCGAAGTTGTTAAATTTCACATCTTTCGACATTTCGTGTTATAAAATTATAGAAAATCCCAAGCATTATAACTATAATTTTGACATTATCAAATTACAGAATTTTGTAATAAAATTTATGGTCTGTATATTGTAAAAATCTCATTTTTCAAGTTTCTATCATTTTACGTCTTGCACTTTAAAAGTGCACTTGAGAAATCTGGTTTGTTGATTACCTTAAAAGAGTACCAAATCTGTCGCGAAGAACTCGAGAGGAGGCGTCATCGACGTAAAATGTCGACACAGGCGTGCATCTGACGTGTCGTGAGACAAGCACGAGCCGCTCATAAATATTTATTGATCGATTGTATTCGAGGCAATTGAACGCGATGCCGGAATTGCGTTCACGCGTGTCACGCGAATGCATCGGCGGCGAGTTGCACAACGCCGTCAACGTGATTCGTCCTGTTATGAAATAATGCAGAACACCTCTTGATTAAGCAACGCCTTAATGCACTTTGCACTGCGTAATTTCGTGAAAATACACCGCAATTATTCACTGTCATCATATTTCTTCGCGGTTAAACATAATAAACAAGCAAGTTCGTATGTAACAATCCAATTGACATATAATTTCGGATATAAACACATTTTAAACGTTTAATTTTAATTGGTAGACTTGAAAGAGTTTTAAAATGAAACTTAATAGCAAAATATAATATATTTTTGAACACAAATTTTTATTAATATTAATAAAAATTATTTCCAAAAGAATTTCTTAAAATATTTCAGCAAATAAAAATCCAAATATTTATAAGCATCATTTTCCAAATTGAACCAATATATACAAGTTTTTATATCAAATTAATTAAATAAATTAATTAAATAAAGATAATTAAATAAAGAATTGAAACTTCTTAACATTCATTAACAAACTTTCGAAAGCTATTAAGGCGAATAAAATGCAAGCAATAATTTTTGATCGACAGTCTTCTTCAACGATACGACAGTTAAGAACACCCGATAGGACGAAACGATCGTGCCTGTCCATTCGAAATCGATTCAAGTGGGCGAGAACCGCGCGCTTTAACACCTACGCGATCCCGCCGGATAAGCGACGATCGCTCCGACGACGAAGTTATGTTTCTTCGTGTTCGTGCCGCAGATAACGATCCCCGGCTATTCGCCTTCATGAATAGCGCCAATATCGTCGGCTAATAATGCTCCCCCGATTATAAGGTCGCATATTCCGCATAAATGGCATTCCGCTTTCGATCTCTACCAGTAGATTCCCAAGTATCCAAAACTTCGAATTCCAATATCGTGATTCAGGCATACGAGATGCGAAAAAAATCTGCTAAAAATTCTTTCTCGTAAATATGTAAGATTTTTTTATATTAAAAAAGCTTAAATACTGAGATCACAAAATTGTTTCATCCATACTGTTGTTCTAAAAAAGGTATATTTGATAAAAAAATTGGTCTTAAGATTTGGTACCAGTGGAATAATTACAATTATTACAGCAAATACGAAATACCTATAAAGTGCTTAGCTTTTGTTTCTACGTTGTCGAAATATTTATATGTTTTTACAAGAAGTCTTACTCATCTTCAAAATAATTTCTTCTCTTTTCTAATTACACATCTTTGTAGTGCAGAGGCAGAACTATGAACGTGAATCGTCGTATCCCGAGACGTACCTTTTCCTCGCGCGACAATGCACATTTTCACGAAAGCGACACCAACCGACTCGACGCCGCAGGACGCCACGTTATTGCCCGGCCACTGACAATGAGTTACAGTGTTATTACTCGTAGTTTTACTACAATTTACAATAGGATTTCTACCGGGTTCACACCGCCGAGACGAAAACAAGGAAAGATAGTAAAGACAGTAACTTATAGTCGAGTGACGCCAAGAATAGAGGAGGACGAGGAGAAGGTAAAGCAATAAACTAAATAATCGCTGTAACACTCCGAATCACGCGCTACGATCAATCGGAGTGTTACATCGGATAACATACATAAATAGACCGAGCATTTTTTTCCATTCAAAAAGCGAAATCTGAAGATGGTAATTTCGAAACCTACATTTTACTCTATCAGAACAAATGTCATTTTCTGTTATTTTGCGGTATCTTGTGTTATCAGATATCACTTACAAACAATCTTAATTGGCGCTAAACTGTCAACATTTGCTTTTATCTTCGACCGTGCAAAAGATATAGGAATGCTAATTTATTTATATTTGTATTGAGACAAGTTAAATCTATAGCCGCTTCTATATGTGTTGTGATAAAATTTAAAACAGAATCATTAATATTTAATTAAAACATTTAGTTATTTCGATCATATCTTACGCGCACAAGCGCAACATTATTAACATTATTGATCCTGTTGTTTAATTGAACTTTTATTTGTTTCACGAGAATTTAGCGCATCGTTCATAAATACCGTCGCGAAAACACTTTGAAATAACGCGCTATCTCATCTCTTTTTGTTTCTCCGATACGGCAACTGTATTTTCCGAAAAACAAGGAAAGCTACCACTGTAGCGATCTTAAGAGATACTCGGCTATGTATTGACGCGGCTTGTTTACACACTTGTGCACCATTGAGAAATTAAGATAAGCCGGTCGACAATGGAATTTCAATGTCGAAACTTCGTCGTCGGAATCGAGACTGTTCGTCGTTGGTCGACATACCGCGAGTGTAACGACTTGTAGAAACATTTTTAAAAACCTCCGACAGCCGTGAGAATAATGTGAATTAATGAAGTAAAGAGATAAAAATTATTAAATTAAGACGTGCGCATTCCAAAGAAGAATTGGACACTTGTCAATTCACTTCAATCAAGCTTAATATTTTCTATTTTTACGATATTAATTTTAATTACGATTCAATTTATTTACATTTAAAAAAAACGCAATCAATTTTGACAAGTATAAATCTTCTTTCAAATTATAAAATGTTCAAATTATAAAGGTTTTAAGAAGAGAAGAGGGGTATCTAATATATTTGACATTGAAATAAATCAATTCTGCTGAAATATATAATTATCATAGTTTCAGGTTTGCAAAATATGATTCGTGATAAACAATTAAATTGCAGAAGATAGAAAAAAGTTGGAGTATAATTCTTGGGGCAACGTTAAAAACCAGGATGCTGAAGCACATCCGGCACACTCCGATTCCAAACGGCGTCGTTACATTCGATCTTCCGTCGCCCCTTTAACCCCTGCTTCATCGCCAGGGGCAAAGAGGGCACGCGCTTAATTATCAATTATCTACCGGCCCTCCCACGAAAAGCAATCGCAATTACGAGCCGGTCACGAGGCCAGAGGGACCAGCCAGCCAGCCGGCAGACTTGCCAGCCGTCTTCTTCTTCCTCCCTCGCCACCCGCCCGAGAGATTTATTTCGTACGTGCACACGGATGAAGAACAATGCGAGAATTGGGGAAGTGTGTCACCAGGCTGCTGGCACTCTTCATATTCGCGAGGCGGAACACACCTGGGCACCACGCGGCGCGCAGCATCCCGGTGCGGAGCGGGTTGGTCCGAGAGATGAGGCGGTATGATTGATACTTTATTGCGGTCCGCGCACCATTGACCCGCAAAACCATATGTAGATTGTAAGAAATAGAGACACGCGAGATGACAATAAAACAAAACGAGATAAGAGAGAGAGAGAGAGAAAGAGGAAGGCGGGAAAAGAGAGGGTGAGAGGAAGGAGGGGAAAAATTAATCTACCAAAAGTGGAACGTCCACGCACGATTGAAACGAGATGAAGTACGATTGATACATTATTGCGGGACCCGAGACATTGACCTATATATCGAAATTATAGACTGAATAATCGTATGTAGATTATAAAAATGCAACTTACGACCGGTTGCGCGGTGACTAACGCTGACGAACACGGTGTTAATCAACTTTCCCTTCTTCTCTATCGGGAGATCGAAACGATATTAATTGGGCAGGTGAGATAAAGAGATTACGAAAAAAAAAGTATAAAGCGTGAGTTGTTGCGCGGCACTTTGAATCTTTTCCAATCTCTCTTAGCTGAGAGAGGCAAAAAAACATGTCGCAGCAAAATTATTTATTCATTTATTTTAGAATAATTTTGTGTATACACGGAAAAGAAAGAATTCAGCAGCGAAACTGTCGGCGCTACTGCACGTTCGATGTGATACTACAT